TCATGGTTGTACGGCAGTGAAGCATCGGTGTTGAACACTGATATCATGCTGTCGATGATGATGATGATGATGACTGACTAACTCAATGTGAGCCGTTACCTGACATGTATGACTACCACCCAAACACTGAACCCCTCAGACACCCAGGCTACTTAAAGTTTCTTGTTTCTCATTTTTGAATTTATGACATTCTAGTCTTGAGGAATCTCGGTCTTTTTCATGCTAAAACTCAACTTTTTTATCAGTGAAATGGTGATTAAATAGACTAGGCTTACAAAGCTGGGTTACAAGTTATTGGAATGCTACGAGGTTTCCAAAATTTTGTTCCTTTGTGATCTGAAATCGTTCGACGTTTCGTGAAATATTTTTATTCCACGGGGAAGTTACAGTATCCTGCACGCGATGGTTGCTCCTAATCACAACGATACGAGGTGCAGAACACTAACCGAACTATCTTGTTTTTCTGCAGTTTCCGGGACAGTAAAATGTGGCATGAAATTTTGTGTGGTGTAAATGGTTTCAGCATTACATTCGATACCTATTCTCTGTCAAGTCCGAACCAATTCAATGCTCTCTATCTAGAATACCGTATCTAAGAGGTGCAAAATGTAATTTGAGCAACCCAATATGGATGATCAACTCAAATACCCAGTCAACTAATTCGGTGATTTTTACCATTCTTAACGGGCCTGTAACGCATGTGTTAGATTGTTCTTAGCAATCAGATACTGGTCAGTTTCAAGGTCCAATGATCTTGTGACTAATATTTACCCGGGCCCTGTATTAGTGGCGAGACTATCGGTCATTCGTTTGGGAGAACAAAGACATCACCGATGCTCAGTGGCTGATATACCGCTTCCCTTTTTGATAGTTATATTTGGCCACCAAGGTTTCTACCGCCTCAGAGGTTTCGCTGTTCTTTTCAGATTCCAGGCCATGTACTTCTTTGGCAGGTTCATTTTTGTTTCAACATGATTGTCATTCATCGATGGAATTAGGGCCTTCTTTTTGTACTTTGTATCCGGTGCAGCTAGCAGACATCACCATATACGTTGCATCTCGAATATAGACTCCGTGATCCCTGATGCGACGGTTTGAATGATTTCAAAGGAAAGTACAGTAGCTTTCAAGTAAGCAACCTCAAAACACATAATAATCCCCTTGAAAGGGCTTATATTAGTGGGCCTTTTGAGGATACCTCCCAACAATTCAAAGAACCCCCTCCCCATTGTGTAACAAACGAGGCCTTGCAAAGAGAATTCATCCATCCACCATGAAATGCTTTTCTTTTATAATCTAAAACCCATTCACTCCATCCGATTGCCATGGAATGGCTGATTCCGACATCCCTGCCAAAATTACCATCCAAGTAAACGACGGAAGCAGAAGAGCAAGCAAGAAAGCGCGATTGCTGGAAGACAGTCAATTGATCGTTCTCCCACCAGCTGTATGTTCCGTCAGTAGTGCATGGGCAATAAAGGTCTGCTTAGCTTGTCGACTAAAGGACACATAGAAGTTGTTTGGTCCTCATTACGGCAATTGACTGAATGTGCTGAATGTGACGGCTTTGAACCCAAGGAGAGTCCCATCACTTGCTTCATTCCAGCTCACATTCAGAATACCGCTTTGCTGGGCGCGTGATCTTAGTTCAGCACTAGTTTCGTTTCACGAAAATTGTATCTGCCAATCGTTTCTTTTAATCGGTTTTGTGTGGGCTAAGTCTGACTTCAAAAACTTTGCTTTAGTTCATGTATTCAGGGGATTAGATATTATTCAGGATGCACGAGTTGGCTGGATGTTTAAGCTTGTCACATTACTTCACCCATTAGATATTTTTTGCCAGACCGCTATAGCACTTATGGATCATTCACTTTCACCGCATTCTTCACAAGTCTCAGTCGACAAGATTTCAATCTCCCGGAGAGTAGAGCAATTCAACTAGGTGACTGTGTTAGAACGTTGTTTATCAGATCAATATAAAGATGCTATTCAAAAGTCTGCACAACTTTCAAAAAGGTGCTCTCATTTCTATTAAAATCGTCCCCAACATGTAATAAGTCCTCATAGCAGGTGGTGAAACAAGTAATCCCAAAAGGCATTGTCTCTCCAGAGGAAGCAAGTCGGACGGACAGACCACTTCTACTTAGTCAGGGTGTGATTTCACAGCCATGGAAACCAAGGGGAACGCTCCAGCACTTTTTCACAGTGCTGTGTAGTGAACCCTAGTGTGTAAGGCCTCACTGGTAGTTTCGGTTACATAATAATAACAATAATAGTAACAATAATAATACACGAAACACATTTTCGGGATCTACTTGGTCTAGTGTTCTTAGTCGGTGTCTGGCACCTAAGTCCGCTTTTTCACGAGTTTTCCTGTGCTCCTACGGAATTGAAGGCTCCAAGGAGAGCGATTTCAATTATGAGTTGCCTCCAGATAAACAAATTTCTCTCAAACTACGAGGTAACTGAGAAATTACATGGTTGTTAGTTAGACCTATCAAACCACACTAGTCTTGTCGAAGAACAGTTCCCGCTTCAGTTTGAACTCGGTGCAATTGCCCAATCGTGTTAGATTTTTCTGGAAAGAGTTTAATTTCAGTTTGATNCAGTTTGATGTCTGACTTACTAGAGTAATGCCCCAACTGGCTAATCTCCATTACACGGACGCCACTGAACACCTATCAGGCCATCAGTGGAGCAAGCAGTTCGCTTCGAAACAAGAAAGGAAACTTACTCAAAATCCAAGATATTCCGGTTGAGTTGATCTGTATGTGTATCGGAGGACCAACTCAGTCGAGCAGTACTTAGCACGAAACATAGAAAATTCGGAAGTTCTCACACTTTTTATCTACTTTTTCCACGAGCTGGTGCATTGATATCAGATTCCATGCACTGTCTCCCGAAGGCTCACCTTCCAGGAGAGGCCAAAAACCTATCTTCGGTGGAATTATTGCAGTCACCTTTGAACGTGTCGTTAGAGGAATGTAACTGTTGGCCGCTTCATATTACTTTCTGGAAGGCTGAACTTTGTAGATAAGTACAGACGCGCTTACTCACGAAAATAGTTAAAAGTAAAATCGGAATGGGACCCTAAGTCGCCTGATACGTATGATCAAAGTCCACAATGATCAGAATGCTCAATCCAAGCTGGCTATCAATTACGGATACTTGCATTAACATGAAAGGTTGGCACCCATCACAGCAAATGGGTCAGTGCATACTACGGCACATCAAGGAGAAGCTTTCGACTTTGGATGAGTGACGGATCAATCAGCTATTAACTGCTTCCAGTAAAGTGAACTGACAATGGTTAACCTAACAGGTTCGTAAATTTAAGCCGGAAGGCCATTTCGGATAATTCTTTTCTTTATGAAAACCAGGCTTCCTATATGCAGATTTTTTTACTCGCCTGCGTGAGTTGTTGCCACATGACTCCTGTCACCCTTTTCACGATTCCGGCCGTTTCGCGTAAAAATGTCTCTAATTACAAACACGCGGTGTTAGTTTTATGTCTCCTTCTTGTGCCAATTGTTGTGCTGAGTTATATTTCAGTTGTATCTTAACTGACATCTGGGAGCCTGCCCCAAATAACTCTGGGTATTTCGGTCCAAGTTGAGGTGCTTCAGTTTTGTTTTTTCTTACTGGTTACCGTGCTAGTCATGGGTTTCATTGCTACAGAAAGGGCAATCGGGGATGAAGTGTCATATCCATCGCGGAAGTTAGATTACTCGAGATTCTGCATAGTGTAACCAGTGTGCAACTTTCGATTCTCGAACATGATTGTTCATACACACTTTCATTTTCTGTCAGGTTCTACCCAGTGATTCGCATCATTCATCGGATCCTCGTAACTCGGATGAACTTCCGCCCTTCGTGACCTATTTGATGAACGCTTCAAAGTTGCTCACAAGCCCATTGCAAGTTTATATCTTGCTGAGTATGACCAATGGCTCGGTTACTCAAACGTTGAATTTCATTCGAACCGGTTTGCGGCATCCGAATAAACCAGCTGTGTTTAATCCTCCACTATGGACGCCAGAAGCAGATGCGCAGCTTAAATCCACAGAACTTTCCGTTCTCTGTGGATTGATCGAACGTTTCGGTGCAAACGAAGTATGCAGCCGAATAGCATACTTAGCAATGTAATGCATTTGACTTCTCTAATTTTTGGTTCAGCTGTTTTTGTTATGTGATTTAGATTGTTAAGAAATATACACTTCATAAATGCCTTCCACTGTTTACTTCGTTCCTGTATTTTATAGTCGTTTGGTTATCACGGGCTCTTTCATATATTTAAAGACTTGGGTACAAAAGTGAAGGCGGTTTATTTGTTTTCTGTATAACAGGGTTTGTCAGGACGTTGGAATGTCCCAGTAAACATCACGTGTCTAACCCAACGAGCTTTCAAAATATCTACACCATTTATTGCTAGCTGTCTTTGTAGATTTTTCCATCTGCAACCCTCCTGGAGGCAGAGGGACGCCACTTTTGTGTTCCATTAACTTTACTGTGATAGTTTCCTGCGAGAGGATGATGGCAAACCAATATTACCTTAAGCGACTGCTACCGATGATTAACAGCCTGTAGCAAAATCAACATATACTGTTAGCCACTTTTGATTTCAATGCCCAATTTCGTAGATGGCACAAAGATTGAGGCGTTCAGTATCTATTGGCAGACCCGATGGCATTGCCACCCTGTAAACGGCTGCAAAGTTCCACTGATTCACTCTTGTTTTGATGGCATATGCCTGAAGCACTGTAGACACCGGTATCAGCTAATTTCCGTAGAATATAGAATGTCATGACAACGTCGCCCTACCATCATTTGGGCATTTGACCAGTTCACCGAACTTAGACACCGGTAGTTAAATACTTGGCATCCACTGGTACCATCGATTCGGAAGAGTCGTACCTTACAGGCTTTACGTAAGCACTGTTCGATGACAGTGTAGTGTGTCCGGAGCCCTGTGTATTCACTTCTTATTTACGAAGCTTTCTGTAGCTGTGTGCTCTCTGACGGAGATATCTTCTATCATAATCATCAATGACTGCAACGTCTGAGGGAAACACTGGTGCTTCACTGCCGTAGAACCATGTCAGTAAGATCGTGTTTGTTTTTCTGATGAACTTTTTTGCGGCCAACTATCGTTGGGTTATGATTGACTTCTCAGCAGTGTGCTTGCTGAGTACTCATACATATGGTATCACCTGTTCGCGAAAGCGACTTGCATCCTCTGAACGCGACACGGTTCTTATGCTAGTAGCACTTTGAGTAACCGGGTGGGGTCTCAACATATCAATACTGGTCACCGAAGCTTCATAGAATGCCTAACTAAGGTCATCTGTTCGGCTGCTGTTTCGCTTCACCACCGTTAGAAATCCTGTCATTAAATTGGGGGCTTACGCGTGGTGCCTTCTCTAGGACCTTATAAGCTCTAAACGGTGTCAGCCTAATACGGCCACAAAGTGATCAACGATTCTTATCCGACTCGTTTAACCTTCTTAGTGAATTCACGCTGTTCCGATCCATGTCTACCTCCGTAGAAGGGCGCAGCGGACGACCGAAATGCTTCAGTCACATTTTGTCTTTTACGTCCCATTGATCCAACAGGCAATATAAACCGGTGAGCTTTCGATGTCACGAAGTAATTGCTGCTCTTCTGCTGTAGGTGGAAATCTTGCAGTGTACATTTTAGCTCAGTGCTCGAATTTTTATGGAAGACAACTGCTATTCTCCCGAATAAATTCCCTTTTTGGCATCGTACGTTAGCTGTTGATCATAAGACAACATCAGAAACAGATCACAACGTACTGTCGTCGAACGGATGGCGGCGATCTACTGTGTGTTACATCGTGAGCACGGTCCTGTCGTGATAGTATGTGGCAATATATTAAGGTCAAGGTGATGTCTTGATGCATGACTAGTTTGTCGTGCACAGCTTGTCAATAGACGTTCGTCTAGACGCTGTTCAACCTGTGGGTCGGATACAGCTATGTTTTTCAATCTGCATCGGCTGCCAGTCAGCTAATTTTCAGCTTGCTACGTAAAATGTAATACTGTCACAGTAAAATCGGTTCTTGCATCCATTGGTGTTCGGCATCAATACATGCATACATACCGATTAACCCTTTCCACGATGGAAGTCGATCACAATCAAAGCGCAGTTTGCGCTGTTTTTGTATTGTTCACTGGCCTCTCTTGGTCGGTTTGTTTATCTCCATTAACCACCAGTCCGTTACGAGCCACGTCTTGGGATTCACTTACATTTTGATATCGTTGAAGCATGTAAAGAACTGAATGATCCTACATCTTTAGTGCATCCATGAAACACATGCCTCGTTCGGTGCATGTGACCCTCGCGTGTTTTTCCACAGTAACAAATTTTCGCATTACGAAAAAGCGACTCTTCACACACACTTGTGCGTCCTGGTGTTCGCTTCATGTCTTGGCAGGCCGTACAACCACTTCTGTCCGCGGTCTCTTCAGTTATCAAGCACATTATTCAACGCAATGGAAGTGCGCTGGCGGTGTTTTTTTACACTGAATTTTGTTTCAAACATCCCATAGCACCATATCTAGGTGGTCGCCAAATATGATGCTTACTACCGTCGACGTTCCCCTGATACCAAACGGAATCGGATCTTACTGGAAGCGTTTATGTCTACAGTTTTACGCTGCTATTTTGAATGTCATGTCTCGAAACAAAGTTCTCCGTATTCAGGTAAAAGAACCAATTAAGGGTTGCTGTATTCGGGGCATCCAGTTTATATACTATAGAACGTGTCACTGAGTTCGGAATTACCGATTAGATTTACAGTATCCCAAAAAATCAAATATAGCGCTTGATTTACTTTTAACAAAGTGCAGTGCTACGAAAACCTACCGCTTATGTAAGAACACCCCGAAAGAGGTAGGCAGCGGCACCCCATAAGCACGCAGTGAGGTAGAGTCACTCATTCTAATTCTCATTAAGTTGATAGCAAGCTCGTTATCGACCATTCGGCTTTCACTCCGACGATGGTTCATGCTGTTTATGGAACATGCACAGCTGCCTTCCCGTATTTGTTCAGTCCCACGTGTGATCAGTGCTGGTGTCAACAATAGAAACTTATACCGCTTCTAGGGTGTAACCCAACACCGGCGTTTGCTGCAGGATTGTCTTACAGCCCCATAGATCAACGTTAAAAAGCACTGGGCTCTAACATATTGGCTGGGACCTTCACATCACAGAGTACTGTAAGTAGCCTTAACCTTGTGTAAAAATGTGAAACAAAGTTCGCACACTTTAAGGCTCGTGGATTGCATTAGCATGTGTTTTGTGATTCGGCTGATCCGTTGTTACGGTGAGATCGGAACAAGACCCAGTGGTAGATGAGAATCCATTTCCTTGTCTTCGTACATTGTTTTCCAACTGGGTAATCAGTAGCTGATTGTCAACTGCATACTAGTTCCGATGTGGTAAAGCGTTAGATTGTTCTCTTTCTGCTTCTTCCTCAGGCTGCCACACTGCCTAAACTTCCCTATCGTTTTCTGTTGTTATTCGGATCTCATGGTTTCCCATCTTTTATTTCAGATAGATAGTACGAACTCTTCACCTGTCATTTTCCATTGGAGCCCTATATAAGCATCGTTTGTCTGTCATGCCCATTCACACGCCTCTCAGCCCTAGTCCCTCTGAGAAGCTCTTAGGCCCAGGCCATGGACCGGGTGTCTGGCCTTTACGTGAACGTCTTGCATTGGCCAGCGCCCTGCTGGATGTGGACAATCAGCAAGCTAGCTGGCAAGCCATCGGAAAAAAATTAGCACGCTTCACTACTGTCGACCGTCCTGGGGACTGGTGTTCCGCCCGTGCATGTGCCAAGCAGTATGCACTGTTGTTGGACTCAGCTGAACTAACCCGTCGTCAGAAATCTCATAACGAGATCCAGGCCACTCGTGTTAACATTCTTCATGCAACTCAAAATCCAGTCACTCCGGGGTTGAGTATCACAGAGCGCCTCGTGAAGCGTCTCACTGCCGAGCGCGTAGAAGAATTGCGGGAACGAATCGAGTTGGGTCAGAAGTATTATGGGTAAGAAAGCTATTTACATCCAACGTTTGTACTCACAGCTCTTCGTTTCAGTTTGTAAGGGACAAGGTATGAATGCTATTTTACACCATCGGTCACTCTAATCCAGTGTACGCGAATCGCACTCTGCTTCTAGAATAACGGGATTTTCTTTCTCACAAACGATTGCTGAGCACGTTCAGTCGTACAGTTAACTAACCGTGAGGTTGATTATCCTGACTTACAGTTAGCTCCAATACAATCAGCCCTTTCTGATTATAAGGCTACTACTTAGACAAACATATACCAACCGGCTTGGTCCTTCGATGCGTTATTCAGTTAACTTTGTACACCCATCATTTGATCTAGGGTTACTTACCTATTTAGTTTAGTGTCCTGTACCCTCTGTCCATAGGCCGCGACGATTTTGTTCGTTACTCTAATGTATGTCTTAATGGTTGCTAATGATTCGGCCTGCTTCGTGGTTATCATACTCATTTGATAGTGACTGTCTGGTGGGCATTTAGCAGTGGACACCAGGAATCTGTCGCGTGAGCCTCACCTTGGAGTGGCAACCGACTACTAGATCTTGGCAACTGATGACTCGTTTTCGGTCTCACTTGGTATTCTACTCCATCTGACGATACCGAATCATATCTCCAGTTATCTTCTGGATGATATCTACTTGTTGAATAAGGTGATGTTGTATCTGACTACCCTCAGTGACACTATTCTCCAGGCGAGATGGACCAAGTGGTTAGAGCGCGAATTTACTGACCGGTAGGTCCGTGGTTCGAACCCGACCTCTTCCACTGGACTTTCCCTGTCTAGGCTTGGGCAACCTGGCAGTATCCCAGCCCTCGTGCCTCCTTCGTGTGGCATGGCAGCTAGGCACCGAAAAGGTGCTACAGCTGGACGATTTATTTTATTTTATTTTATTATTTTATTTAGGCCACAAACACAGCTCACTTTATGGCGTCTCAATGAGTTGTTGTGTCAAGCCATCAAACCATGCTTAAAACCAACAACTAGGGTTGGAAGTTTTGATCTAACCTCAGTCTGCAGCTCAGACATTCACCATGAGTTCGCTTTTCGTACAGAGCCTCTTAGTTTACCTTCTGTTGTTTGTCCTAGCATCCTGGATTCTAGAGCCGAACTCAGCAAGCACGAAAGGCAAAAACATTTTAATAGTTAATCAGTGCACTCAACGTTTTCGGACCAGGTAAAGGAAACCAAATCACAAGTACAATCAAGCATGTAGGATATATACTCGACACCCGAATAGCTCAGTCCTCTGTGGTTTCACCTGGCAGGCAAGTGGGTGGCCACACCATCCTATTCTTCAAACAAGGTTGGGTACTTCGAATGTAACATACAGAGTCCAGTGATCTACGTACTGTCTAGTAAACATGTTCGGTTTCATTAACCTATTCACTCTGAACATAGTGGACGCAGTCGTCCAGGGCAAGGCAGCATCGCTGCTTCCATAAATGTGGACATGTTGGTCTTTTGGGGAGAAACACTCCACTGCCTTCACATTTCTATCGCAGAGGACAATATGACTTTACCCCCCAGATCGCCTCGTATCATGATTACTTGTAGTACGGAGTCTCGCTGCTTTTGCTCTGACTGCCCTCCTTTAGCCTTCCTGGCATTTTTACATCTTGTGGAACGAATCTTCAGCCAGTGTAATCCACAGGATCATTGCAGCACTCAAAACTGTCCAGCACGTCAAGGTGGCGGCTTTGGGTCCGGAAGCCACATTACCAAAAGAGCTTTATATGGAACCTTGGGGAGTTGCTCAATCTAGGTAGGCACATGTGAGAAGCACACTCTGTCTTTATACAGAATCCGCGTTGAGTAACTGTATCCTAGTCAGTTTGTGACTGCGAAGCGAGACTCTGTGGCCCGTCCAAGGCTCCCAACAGACGTCTGAATCAACGATGTCTGTCCGTCTCCGTACACAACCAAACCGACTTCAGCCTGGACTCCGCGAAAGACGAATTTCACTTCTAACTGAAGAAAGTCAATTACAAAACTCAATACGGACGTTTTTTGCTGCACAGGGATACGAATACTCAAGTTGGTTGATTTGACTGGTTATAACACCTTAAAATGTCGATATTCCGCCGACATTCAACTCAGAGGCAGTGGGGGTTTCTGGTACAAGTTGTATGTGAACAATGGACAAAACAGGGATCTTTAATTTGCCATTTCTAGCGAATTTTCAGGGAAAATGTCTCTATATGGGTTCATCTGCTAGACCGAAGTAAATGCCCGCCCAGGGGAAGAACACCCCAGTAAGATGCCAGTAATAATACCTAATACCTAAAATACCATCAGGTCATCCATCATCACCTTGATGATATGCTAACGGGAACACTTACATGGTGTCACATTAAGATGTGTTATCACGATGAAAGCTAAAGTAGGGCGCCGGTACCTACTGAGACCTACTGATACTGATCTCTGTTGTTTCGCCAGTGTGTTCAAGGTAATTGGTGTCATGCAACAATCCCCTGAACGTTCTCCCATCGATCGGGTCTACATCGGTGCTTAGGGCTTGCATGCAGCACCAAATTCGGCCCTCGTCCGTGACCTCTACTATGCGCAGACGTCTAATGGTTTAACTACTGCTGACCGTCAAACTATATTCGGTTGCCAGCCCTTTGTATTACACCATCATTCCATGGCTTACTAGGCTAGGTTGCTTCCAACTTTGTGGAAAAAATGGTGCAACTCGAATGCACTGTTGGGACGTGTGCGAACCATGCGGTCGATTTTGACCCTAAACAAATTTGTCGTACGTTCCAAACCGTTCCAAACCGTAGTAAGTTACTGCTATCCGCGGAGATGGATTGCATGTGCGTTGAAGAGCACGTGGTGAGTCACGAGGTTTTCGTATGTGTTGGGCCTAATTCAGCCTGTATCGTTAGTCTGACACGCCCCGGAAGTGGCGAACAACACTTTTCCTGTAAAACAGCGAAACCAATTCGTGTTTGCTTTAACTTTTTGCCATTCATACTACGGTAATCTCTGTAAGAACACTTGAGCTGTTTTTACCTTTGTGGTCTTGTTTACATGAAGCTTCAGTCTTAAACGGGACCAGAATCCAACAGGGACTTGAGAATCAGTACCACTCAGAGGGTCGATTCAAATCCTGAGCAGTGCGCTGCTGGTTTCATCTTTCTTGGGGCCGCTTTTATGCAGCATTTTCCACTAAAGAATATAATACTCGAGAGATGCAAGTGTAATCCAGCTAAGTCTCCCGTCAACTCCAAAGTAATTGGCAGATGGGCGTTTATCGCAAAGATGTAATAAGTTTATTTTCTAGCCTCCATTAAGTTCACAAACAGACGGGACCCCGTTGGTTGACTTCAGTATGAATACTCCAGGAGAGTTAGGCGAAATTGCACTTTCCCAATCTGGCCAAAACTCCGTTTAACATCTTCCCCTAGTTTCGATGCGGGATTTTCCATTACTTTACGGTGACTTTTTACGGAAGCATGAGGCTCATTGAGTGTTCTCTTTCGAATTATGCGCCATACTTGGCAACAACCGACAATGTGTGCATCTAAAATATTTCATTTGCCTAATCCTGATGTGATAGAGTGCACGAACGTGGTGTTTTTGGTGTAAAACAGTTTTTTGTTGATGTCATCGGTAAAATTACCCTACTGTCATTTAAAGAATGAAATAACTTCACTCGTTCGGCTGTAACAGCCTTTCGGCGCCTAGATGCCATGCCACTCGAAGGAAGCACGATGGCTGGGACACTGTCAGCTTGCCCAGGAAGTCGAGAGGCATAGGTCGGGTTCTAACCACGGACCTTCCGGTTAGTAAATTCACGCTCTAACCGCTGAGCCATCTCGCCCCAATGCCTTCACTTATAGACCATCATTTTTGTTGTCTTGTTGTTTGATGAGTAGAACTCTGGGTTTACCCTGCAAGGTAAATGTCTTCAAGTTCACAGATGAAACAGTCAGCCACACGTATGGTAGTTGTTTTGCCTATGCTTGAGTGTTATCGTTTCCTCTTTGATTACTGAACAAATTCTTTGGCATGCAGCGTTTACATCGCACCAAACAATTGAGCCACCGAATTGTTTCCTTTGTACTCTGTCTTATAGAAAACTGGAATTGTGAAAGCCGTTTCTCCAAGGTCTCTTGTAGTGAATCTACTCGGATGGATGTTTAAATCAGTAGGCTATTGTTCTCGCCAATAACGGTGGCCTAATCGGTCTAGCATTACGGAGAAACAGGTCCACTGGTGTACAAAGGAACAAACCGTAATGACATTGATGTATGAGATGTTCTGGGGAGGCTGATGTGGCCTCTGATTCCTGTTTCTCTTCTCAGGTGGCGTTATTTTGGGGTCTATCAAACAGCACAGTTCCTGGATGTAGTGAAAGGACTTCGACCGGAATGCAGTGTGCTTCTGCATTTCACTTCAAACCTAACTCTGTGAAACTTCTTCTGAAGTATGTCTTAAATTCAAACTCACTCAGACTCAAAACGACAAGAAGTCAGAAGAAGATTCATTTTCGACGATAAGGGATCTAGATATAGGGAGAGCAATACGGGTCCCGTCGCGTTTAGACGCCTCCTGGTTGAAACCTTCACCGGATCATGTAGAAAAGTTCATGCCATGTCATTTGATTGCGTCTGATGAACGGCTAGTGTCCTTGAAGATTCGCACATGAGTACTCACATACAGGAAGTTTGACAAAGTAGAGACTCAAGTTTTGATGGTCGGTGGTTGATGACACCAGGTGCAGTGTTCTCACGAATAACAATTGCGCAAATTATGGTATTAGTCGAAGTTATACGTGGCCAATTGACGATGGAGTTGTTGAATACAGGGTATAATGTCACTGCATGTTAGTTTCTCGCTAAGGTAGTTTTGCTAGCATACTGAGAAAGCAGAAAACAACTATGACTGAAACTGCTCAGTCTTGTTCTCCTGGTATGCTGACGTACTGTGGGCTGTTGTGAGGACACCCAGTGAACAAGGATGCGAAAATAATATTAAACGTTCCAAACACTCACGTCTTCTAAAATAAAAATAAAAATAGTTCAGTTGTAACACCTTTCGGTGAACTGCTCAGTCTTGTTCTCCTGGTATGCTGACGTACTGTGGGCTGTTGTGAGGACACCCAGTGAACAAGGATGCGAAAATAATATTAAACGTTCCAAACACTCACGTCTTCTAAAATAAAAATAAAAATCGTTCAGTTGTAACACCCTTTCGGTGCCTAGCTGCCATGCCAACAGAAAGAGGCACGAGGGCTGGGATACTCCAAGGTTGCCCAAGCCTAGATAGGAGCAATCGAGATGCTGAGGTTGGGCTCGAACGACAGGACTTGCGATCCGTAAGCTGGTGCCTTACTCACTGATCTATCTAAAATAGGTTTTGCTATCTTATAGTACGCGATAATGTACCGAAATCCAGCATTGATCGGGAGCTGTAAGAGTGGTTTGAGCTACCCTCGATGGAATGCTTGTAGCACCCCTACTAAGGATGTCCAGTAGCTTTTGGATATGTTGCAGACGTACACTTTTTGTCGCGTTCCGCCAAAATCTCATGACAGGACAGGTTGCTTGGCAAAAAAAGGTACTCGGATTCCGTTACCTAACTGTATCTATCTATAGGGAATACGCTCCACTCAAAATGCTGCTTTACTGGTTTTGGAGGGATCTCTGAATCCTCTGCAAAGTTGCAAACGTAATGAACATCTGAAGCATTCGTGCTAGTCGAAGTGGAAAATTGCATTGTTTCCTGGAATCATGTCGAAACTTGTTGAAACACGTGTCCTTCGTCCAATCAGTCACTTTTCGTCCTAAAACATCTCCTAGAAGAAGCGCTTTACTTCACACTTTGGCATCCATCGAAGCTGTTAACTATATTAAGTATCGTTTATTACCTGAGCCTTCAGACTTGAACCAGTCAGTATCGCGGCACGATTTCGTACTTCTGAATACATTTAACAAGTCCATTGCTTACCTACTGCCAGCATAATATATAAAGTAAAGAGTGTGGAAGACGTACTTTACGTTTTCTTCCATTTCATTTATCTGTTCCAGTTTTCTTAAGACGATGCACACTGAGATTCAAGAGGGGCTTTATGACAATCACCTTGAGAAGCTTTGTGAAGTTATGAATATTCCACTAACTTCAGAAAGGGATATGTCGGTTTCTGACACAGAGGAATCCCAAATTTCTTCAGGAAGTCGCGAAACCCGGTCCAAATCTGCTTCGAAAAGCTCCACTCAAGCAATTGATGAGAAAATTTTGGAGTTCGCCCAATCCTGGTCAGAAGTGGAAACCATGTGTCAAGTACCCAAATCTGTGTGGATTTGTCCTCCAGGTATTGCGGCTGGCAAAACCACCAAGAACATATGTTCAGGAACTGCTGGAGCCGCACGCTTGAATCAGCTGCTGAACGAGGCATCGGCTACTTTCCGTTCTTCAGGTTCAAAACCACCTCTTGCTGTATTAGGAAGGCGTTCCCGGTTGACTGTGAAGTCTGCCGGTGAAACTGCAGCCTCCCGCAACACCACGGCAACTACGCGGGCTGCCGTAGCCACCCGACAACGGTATCTTGCTAATGCTGCTCGAAATCGAGCACCCTCGACTGCACGCGTTGCTCGTTCGCTACCTACTCGGGCAAGAAAGGTACTGGTTACGGTTCCTGATACCAGTCTTGATGAAATACAGTCAACCGTCTATCGAAGTCCTACACAAAGTAAGCTACAAAAAACAAACCGCTCCTTAACGTGTCGTAGGTTTTAAGCGGAAGCTTGAGGCAGTCCAGTCCGTTTGTAAACGTAGGCTTATTTACATGGTGGCTACATGATTGCTGCAAATGTAATCTCGTTCATATCCACAAGTGGATTTGGCTTTCCATGGACTGAGGGAACCTATGTCCTAGTTTTCGTAGAATATGGTTTTAGCCCCAATCAATAAGAAGAAATGGGTGATGGACCCAAGTACATATCACAATCAAAAGAGTCCTTGAGCGAGACTCGAACCCGCACACTCGCGGCGCAAGTCCTCTACTAAATGACCCACCGCGGACGCTACTCCGCGTCACACTTGAGGTTCACCTTGGTTTTCTACACCTCCGCATAACGGATCAACAATTGATATCCGTCAGTGTCATCAGTGAACCCCTGATATGGTTTCCACACTGGGCTAGACGTTGATGTTAACCCAAATGGCATTAGTTTTAAATTGATATGAGAGAGACGAGATTAGGGAAAATGAACTCAAGTGCACAATACAAACGACAACAGAACCCTTAGGAGGGACTCGAGCCTCACCTCAGTATTGCAGTTGTTCCATCTGTAGACAGCGTACCGTGAATCCGATCACTTTTTCACAAAAAGTGCAAGCCTTTTCCATAGAACTTGGTGATGGATGAAGCAATGTTCGTATGAACAACAAACACCAATAGAAGACTGTTTTTAAGACCATTAGTCATCTCGTCTTTCCGCAATTATAATTACCAAGAGAGGTCGGCCGAAAAGACGGTTCACAATCGGCTTCTGTTACGACTAGTTTCCTGGGAATTTTCGGTTTAGCTTCAAGTCCCTTCAACAATATGTTTAAAATGTTCTCCAAAATTCAAAATTTCCTCAGGAATTCCACGAACTTTTTGGGCGTATCCCTTACACCCCAGTATGCTCACTTTCTTGAATTCCCAGTGGAATTTTTATGAATGCCGTTCGGCATTTTCATACTACACAAGTTTTTTTTACCTTGGTTTCAGGGTGTAGTTGTGTCAAAGCTAACATTGATTGAGTTGTCACATAGTATATTTGGTTTGTTTTCTTTGAATACAAAATTCAGAGTTCAGCATCTTCACTGAGCTATTTTGGCGAGAGCATTCCACTCTTATTCCGTCGAACTAAGTATGTACATCAGTTGCTTGTACTTCCAATGTATATGGTAAAGTACTGTGTTTCATTTTAATATCCTACTCAATTTAAAACTTTTTTACCTCCGTTCATAGGCCTTAGACCTGAATCGATGCCTGATTCACCCAGCTTGAGGAGAGCATCAACAACTGCCCTTGAGCTAGGTGAGTTCCCCGTGGGCATCCTTAGCGGTGCATCAACTCCATCAACTACAGCGATGTGTTCGTCCGACACAGATGAGCTCTCGGATGTTGCCGCAGAGGAAACTCTTGGTGTGTCATTTTCATCCGATAGTTCTTCTACTGACAAAGCAAGCGATTTGGAAGAGGATGAAGCTGCTACTCCCGCCATGTGCGCAACATCAAACTCAGATGCCTCTCCAAGTTCGTCACAAATGACAGAAGCTGCGAGTCACGTAACTGAGACAGAAGGAGATAGTCCACCGGATGCGTTGACTGATCAGCCGGAAACAGTGTCGGTCGGATTTGACAGCGAAGGCACACCAACTGTTAGATCGCTTGTAGCGGAGCCTGTGACCGGTGAAATTCCGTCACCCATGACCGTTCCTGACCCTCCGCTTGTTTCTGCTCCACTACCGATTGAAGATGCTGAAGATGCTGAAGAAGAAGAAGAAGCAGAAGAGGAAGTGAAATCGACGTTTCCCGAGGAAGTACCCGAGGAAGTCCCCGGAGAAACCTCTTCTTCGGTACCAAGTATGACGATGATCAACAAATTCCTAGTCGCCAGTCCAGCCTATATGGAAGTTAAACTGGAGGCTTCGCCTGGTGCCTCCAGCGAAGATGTTTCTGCAGCAGAGACACTACCAAAAACACTTGAACAAAAAAGTGAACCCGATACGGGTACGTGTCCGACCGCAGAACTCACCGACGGCCTTCACGCTACACCGTACCCACAAGAAACCAATATTTGTGTTTCTGAGACTCCGAGCATACCATCAACCTACTCCGTTTCTTCCCAAACCCCCACTGCTGTTTCGCCCAAAGTTAGTGGTAAACTAGAGTCATTTGTGTCTGCGACGCCAATCTTGGCTGTATCCTGTGAAACTACCGAGCCTAACGTGCTCCCTGTGGTACATTTAAATTCACCGGAAACCGATCCTCATTTTAACTTGGAATATCCGTCTCTGGACTTGGAAACTTTATGCGTGCCCAAAACTGATGCAGGCGATTTTGATAAATCTCAGGTAGCAGGAGACCCCAGTCTGCATCAGTTAGGTATCGGTGTTGTAACAGCGGCTTCTCCAATCGATGCACCATCACCGGCAGTTTGTCTGAGTTTACTCAATGACAGTGAATTAACCTGTGCGAAATCTCCGGATTCTCCTCCGCCCATACTGATCCAACCAGATAAGGAGCTCGCAGTTGAACTTTCACCCTTCACAGAAAGCGACTATCTCTGTTCGATACGTGTCGTTTTGGAAAAAAATGTCGAATCTCCATCAGTGTCCAATGGTTCACAGCATCAGCGTCACGAAAATATGATCAATGACAATCTTGGTGATGGCAAAACTGTATGCGGTAAAGACATTCAGGATCACCGAACACGACGGCCACATACGCGTAAACGCAAGTTCACCAAAAGTATCGAGAAGCCTTTATTTGTTGACTCCCCGTTCGTCAGTCTTCCAACCTTAGATGCGGATGAACTGGCTTTGCTAGGTGTGCAAGCTGAACCGAGTCCAACGGTCAAAATCGAACCGTTATCTTCCAATTTCAGTCCCATTCGTCCCCAAGAACCGTGAGTTGTTGACTCAACTATTCTCCCCATTCAGTTTGAATTCATAATTTCGTTTCACTTCACTCGGTCATTTCAAAGGAAAAAATCAAGCATCTTTATTCCTACGTTCAATTCTAAGATTACTGCAGATGCCACAACGGCATAACTATAGCTTTCCGTCCCATAGGACCTTAACAAACCACCTGTGTCAAGAGGCACTATTCTACAAAACGTCCACTGTCAGCAATAGGAAGGGAATCGCTTAAGCGAATCTCATATGGGTTTTTGAGGCGCTGCCACCGTTAAACGTTAATTTCCTTCGTAGACTGTTCATCTCTATACCTTGCCTCCAACTTAAGCTTTGTCAGTCGCTATATGGCTAAACGGCTTATTGTCAGCGTGCGTGGTGGCATATCCCTCCGCACAGACTGAGCACGGTGGCAAAACATTCCCCCTCAACATCAAAATGGTTGCCAAGGTCGGCAGTAGTGCTGCGCTACCGTCGTAAAATCCGTCGTCCTATTTTGTGCAGTGATATTCTCGAAGTGAGCTGCTTTACGGTAAACAAAATACCTCACAGTATGTTAAAGCAGAGCATGTCATTGCAGAAGAGTACGTTAGTCGTAATGACGTAGACTTGGCAGGACAATCTTGGTTTTGCGGTAAATGTGCCGTCTATCGCTGTATGTTAACCTGACCCAATGCTGAAAACTATTTCTTCACAGTCACTCTAGGACACCCTAAGTTATCTAACCGCTGTCACTTTGCATCTTGTGGTCACATGGATAATCGATAGAAGCATTTCGAAATATAATGATTATAACTTTAAATTGGGGAACGAGACACACTGAAATTCTTCTTTCATCCCGGAATGATGTCCACATGCATTTGTCAGTACAAGTAACACAACTAGATGCTTTAGTTGCGCCAGTAATTGAGAGAAATGAATCAAAATTAGAGAAATGCGCTAATCTGGTTTCTATGAGAAATACACTTGAAATCCAGCTGAATTTCTTGTCTGAGCTATTCTTCAACTGACTATGCTGCACAAAGGCCGCCTCGTGTTTCAGCTGGTATGTAATTCGGGATACAACAATACATTTTCTTGAACTAAACTACTCACGAAGTTGCTGAATCGAACAGTTTTCGACAACTTTGTGAGTGGTTCTATTCGAGGAAATGAGTTGAAATTCCTTTGAACAATCAACACACACTTGGAAAAATGACGTGTTATTTCACTCTTCACTGTAATATCATCTTCCGGCTGAGTTAACGTCATCATGGACAGCATGACGTCGGTGTTCAAACTCTCGCTGCCTACAACCATGATTTGTTTGAAAACATTGTGAAGAAAAGAGTAAAAGTGGATGGAGAGAGGGTTTATTGCTAGCTTACTACAATCATTCCGAGGTGTGTACACCTCCAGCCACTCATTCAGGCGATCTGGATAGAAACTGCCAGCAAGAACGTCACTGACATGGGTTTCCAGCCCTATCTTTCAGCGTCTCTAACCGGGCGCAGTGGGGATCACGTGGTCCCTATCCCGGAAGGCGAGTAGCACCCACAACTCCCAAACGTTTCGTGATCTCCTTCATACCCATTTGTCAGGTCATTTGGCTGTATCTTATAACTCACCCGAAATGTTTTGTTGCGACTTACGTCATGGTATGTGTCAACTGCGCGTTCGCCGATAGTGCTGCTTTCGGACTTCAGGTGTGTACTATCAGCCAGGGTACAGGTTACCGTCTTTTACTCTGATTTAGCCGCGTTTCTCTACTGCGCCGTAGAATGTGAAGGAACTTCCTACGACTAACACACTCATCTGCGTACCAATTAGGTTTTCAAGATTTTCACCTGGAACCAAGCTTAATCTCTCGTTTATGGTGCTCTTCTTCACGAGATATTCTGCTGAGTTCCAGATGAGGCTTCCCTGAAAACCAAGTTGATGTGTAGGTGGGTATTAGTTGAATTTCGTGCAATTTGGTTCAAGTAGAACATGCGGTTGATGGAAACTCGGAGCCGGCGCCAATCTGATGACAAGAAGGGCGAAACCGGTTGTGGGCTGTCGGAGTTTTCAGCAACCTTATGAGTAGCATGTAGCTCTTTATGAGATTTTAAATACATATTGGTACCGCCTTTAAAACAGGCCTTTGGTCCTAAAACTGGTAAGAAACATAATAACAGACACCGTCCTACTAGCTATTTTATGTATATGGTTTAGCTAGCCTATCCGCACATTATTGCTTGTTATCCACTGTTAACCTTGTCGAGCTAAATCATTATTCGTAATTTGTCCATGGTGCTCAAAACTGAACTCACGTGACTGTTGCCTTGGAGCATGGTATAGTCGGTGCCTATTTTGACTGTCCTAGCAGCCAAACTGTGGATTTCGTTCTTTTCTGCCTCGTGATCACCAGAGTTGTTGAACTAGAGTAAATCTTCCAAAAAACGAGTAACAGATATTCTATTCAGGTGATTGGTTCCTTGAATTCATGCTTGCGAAATGCCTACACCCTACTGTGAGCAATTGCGGGAAGTTGAAACATTACCTCAATATACCAAATGTGATGCCCTTTATTTTTACGATCCCCCTCTGAAATGACTCTTCTTCTTTATGGTGAAGCATTACGATCGCATGAAATCAATTTTCCGTCCTCAAATACTTACGTCCCTCTAGCCAACTTACCTCGCTCTGCAAATTCATATTAAAGAGTACTGTACGCGCATTTTTGTTCCATTGCTAACCTACCGTTTCACCAGTGATCCTCTTCGTCTTCAGCTTCTTCCTGATGTCTAGTATGTGACTCATTTGTACGACCAGTCGGATTGCTTGACCTACTACCAATTTAGCCATCAGCTTGCTTTAAAGAAAGTTTGTGAACAAAACTCGTTGAAAGATCGATACAATTCTACTATCTCGATGGGTATTCGAGATGCCGAATCCGTTCAGAAATAAACTCAGCTCTAAACTCAAATAGCCAGTGATTTCCTTCATACAACTTACTTTTGCTTTTGCGTCGTAGGCATGAGTAGTACACTCTAGACCATACGCTGGTCGATCCGCTAGCTATCTTTATCTATATGGTTCCTCTATAACTTGATGACTTTATTTATCTCTTCTTTAGCACTTCTTTGGGAATGGCTGCGTCAGGCGCCGCACCACTTTCTGTCGAAGAAGCTAAATCGACACCTACGGGTAAAAAACAGCGAAGCTTACGCTTGCGTCTCAGTCGGAAAGGTTCGCACATGGTTGTTGTTCCCAGCTCGAGCACATCCAGTGTGACCACAGCATCGCCCACTCTGAGTGGGCTCGGAGACGAACCATTCGTGCAGATTAAACCAGATCAAGCCACTACATGGCAGTGCTGGTGTTCGGATATTTTAGACGCCGCTGAGTCAGCATTGCAACGCTTCTCCTTCACAGCATCCCCATCCAAAAGGTAAGAGTCTAGAGGCTGAGCAATATCCTCAGCATTTATTCTCTCGAGTTTGACTACCTGGAAAGACATTCACTACCACCCGTCTTCATAACCATCGGGGCCGTCGGTTCTCAGTAAGACGAGTTAGACCTTAGCTCAACTTAGGTTAAATAGAGACGCGCTCATAGTCCGTGAATATGAGGTAGTCATCCTCCATCTGCTATGCGTATGAAGGTGGATTACACATTTTCACGATGTTTCGAACACCGCTTGTCGCTTAACCTGATTTACTACTTTGATTGAAGGGATCCTACGAACTTGCCGCTTCGAATAGTTTGTTTTCATATTGAAGGGCCGGAAGCATAGCAGTGTATGTTCGTCATTGTTGTATCATAGTGACCGTCTATTGGTTACGCCTACATTGAGTCCGTCAGACTACGCGATAAGGAGAAGACAGAGAAACCCGTACACAGCTGTTTTCAGGACAAGACACAGAGCTTCTGCTTAAATATACGTAGGATGACTACAGGGCCAAATATGTTCCTTCACTTGTTCGTTTTGTACAGCCAATGGCGGTGTTCCGGACGTGAACGATTTCAGCCCCACTCCACTGGTCTTATGTTGCTAAGCCGCGTTTGATGGGCTCCGCCAACACACCTGCTATCCGAAGCGCGTCATGCCTATGGTGACCTTGGGGATGTGTCACTCTGTGCACATGTGTTTTTTTCATGTCTGGGCTTCTCCTGGCAGTTATTTGCTTCAATCGCTTGTTCCAAGCCCGGTCGCTATGCCGTTTCACGTTCTGCTCCTCAGCTGAACTTTTTCATCAGAAAACCTCAGTAACTGACACAGTATAGAGCCGAATACATCTATCTACGTTGTCGAACCTTTTTATCCATCGAGCAACGGTGTCACCTTAGTTCAGACATTAGCTAAGTTGACTGGCTCCGCTATTGAGTCAATGAAACTTGAGAGGCACAATCAAACTTTCATCTTCACCGTCTTTTCGTGGTCGTTCACTGGAATTTATGTAGAAATCGACAATAACAGTTGTATGGCCAGTGTACTCAACCCTCATCGAGTCATCTCAACAACAGCTCGAAAACTTGCACACTGAATGGGTCAATACTGATTTGAAGCTCGATAATGGAAAAGGGTTTTTGTTTTTCTTTGCTTCCTGTCGGCTTGGTATATAGCTGCAGTGTGACCTTGAACGCTAAAGTGCAGTTAGAAGGGACATAGTAACCGGGGCTGGGGTGACAGTCGAGCGCAGTACACGACAGGCCTGGTGTGTTGTTCTTTTAAGCCTCATGACAATTACACCTTCGGGTAAGTCAGGAAAGCAAGTTGGCGTGGGTGTGTTCAAATCACTTTCGTGTGGGTTCCAGTTGCGAATGCTCCACATGCGTCTTTGGCGATTGGCGTAGTCGATCCTAATACTGAGTTGAGAGTAGCCTCAGGTTCTATTTTGATAACATTGACCATAGTCAGTTTTCATACCAATAGTAAACCTTGAAGTCAAAATCGACACTACTCAAATTCACTGTTTAGGGTCCCTTGTACTAAGAAATTTTGTCACGCGCAAAGTTTCGTGAACACTTTCTCATTCTGTCGATGGTGTGCTTTTTGACGTTGTACGTGAGGGTAATTTGTTCGAACCTTTTTTGCGACTTCCATGTTTTCAGTTGGTCTTGTTCGTCGGTTCATCATTGTGAGAATGAATTATTCCGTCCATCGGCGTATAGTGATCCATCCACTCAAGGGAGAATGCCGCCAACGGAAGGCGTATCTGGATTTTATTCGAGGATAAAAGATCACAGATTGGGTATTAGCTGATGGATAAGACTTTTACACACAGACCTTTCTTGCGGACCAAGAGCTTGGTAGCACGAAGGAGTACGGTCAGCTGGCGCCGTTTCTCAGTTCGCAGAACTTTTACCTCCCAACTACACCGGGCGTGTCTTCAAGTACGACGTAATCTATCGATGAATCTTTAGTGACTTGTGTGAAAAATACTGCTCCTCAGCTGACGCTTCCTGTTTGTCCGTTGCAATGTATCTCTGTTATATCTGCTGATTCGTCGGCCTGTGGTATTTGCTGCTGACCCGCTCCAGTGCCTAGTGTCGGAGAGAAAAAGGCTCATGGAAGGGAACACAATAGCTATATTCCAACAAAGTGGTTGCGAGAGTGCGAGTGCGAAAAGTACAACGGCCTCAAGCTTTTTATTGGAAGGACACTGTCTGGACTTGGTCCAATGCTGACGCACACGGTCTGGCTGCGACGTGTTGCATATTGCGGGGGCGTTGTCTGACCTTGATTAACGCTGACTCGCGCTGTCTGGATTTGATACAAGGCTGTGACGCGCTGCATATTGAGGGGTCGTTGTCTATCTGGTTAACATCTAGCGGACCTGAGAGTCTCGGTAGATGTCGGGCGTTCAGTGGTTGCTTTCAGGAAGCTGACCTTCCTGATAATCTCTTACTGCTACGGTATCCGGATCCTGTTCTCACCTTTCTTCATTCACGACCAACTGGCCTTATACCTGGTTGCGGTAGCGATATTCTGTCTACTATTTTATATCGAAACATCACTTCAGGGTGTTTTGGCTGTATCAGCTGTTTGCATCGAGATGAACTTACCTTAACAATATTTCGAATGATGATTATGATAAGCTGCCTCCAGGAGGAGCACGAAACAAGGTGAAAATATTTTCTCTATATACGCTAACCCATTGTCAACCTGATCGCATCTTCTCCTCGGTTATTTGGTGCGCACGTCAGAGCAGGTCATTGAATCAGTGCTTGTTGGCACGTTCTCGAAATCGAAAACATCCATCTTCTCACTTCTTCATAGACCGTGATCATGGATCAAATTAGTCCAGTGTTTCTCCGCAAGCGCATCTAAGTACACTTTGCTTCTTACTTCCCTTTCTGGTTGAGTGTTCATTGTATCTAATCAGCGCTAAAACGGTCTCTGTTATCAAGAGTAAGCAAGAGTATTGCTTCAAACATTATCCTGATGTCTGACAGTTTTTGTATTTGTAAAAACTTGAGTGTCTAACACTAGGAAACGCATGCATCCTATATTCGAGGAAGTTTAAGCTTAGTGACACCTACAATCCCCTACAGGTCTTTTTCTTAAGATACCCCACAAAGCATCTTTGTGTCTGACTACCGTTTGACTTATGTTGAAAACATGGGGGCCCTAGATTATCTAATAAAGGCAGAAAACAAAGTAGACTCTGTGCCGAAGCTCACGTACAACCAACGATAGCGTACGGTAAAAATCTTTCACAGTTTCGTACGTTAGTTTCTCAAACGTAATGCCTGAGCTACTGATGACTCACTGTGCTCAGTCATGCGTGCCAAAATCGTTATTGCGCGCAACACTAAATTCGCTTTTTTTCTGGCCACCGGCCTTCATTTTATTAAGATCATGTGCATAACCTGCTGTAAATGTATGACTAACTGCTTGTGACGCACGTTAAGAGTGCTCCTTAGGAGCCGGTAATGTTACCGGGAGTTTGGAGATCCTCTCCTCGTAAGTACCTTCAAGGTAATGTTGTTCATGTGGTTGAACCACATGCTTCCGTCATGGAGCTGGAGTTTTCTATCTACGTGCTAGCGAGGTTGAGTCAAACTTCGTTGCTTGAGCCTCTCTACTATCTAGTAAACTATGAACAACGTCATTGCATCTCTTGACAGCATTCCGTGTTTTTCATTTTACTGTAGACTACACAATATTTCATCGGAATCCGAAGAAACAGGCAGAAAATCCGTATTACGTATTGTTGAAACGATTCGGATGCAGCTACGCGACGGTAGCATAACAAGTCGGCCCCAATTCGTGCACCATCTTTTAGCCGCATTAGCCAATCTGGTCATGCGATATTCTAGTGATACCGTTCAGTTTGCTGCTGCAACGTACGTCTACAATATTGTTGGAGAACACCTTACAACAAACTTGTGGAGTACTCCGTCTAGTGTTGTGCAGCCGTTGACGGTAGGTCTAGCTCCTCTCATTATGACTCGTGTTTTATCACATCTGGTCAGCTTCTCTGAAGTATGGAGTACTTTTCAAATTTAACTCACTCATGTTTCCGTCTACCTTGATTCTTAATTCTGCTACCTGCCAACAACACCCTCCCGTCTCTGAGCGTAGTACCTAGCGAAATTAACTTTCCCAGAAGGTATGGAACACTGTTGTTTTGTGCGCATCAGATTACAGTGTGGTGCGTGTGGCACTTCAGTTCTAACTTCGGGAACCTTCGAATAGATGTAGATGTTTGTGGCTAATTCTAGACAGTATGTGGAACCGGGCATTTTATTTGTTTGCCTTCTACATGAAACATCACAAATCCACCAACATTGATGCTTGTTTTCGAACTTTTTATTGCTAAGAGACCCTAGTGTTCTAAGTGACCCTAGTGTTACCCAACAGAGATCACTTTCTTTTCGAATGCCAAAAAAGCTCAGCGCTTCTTCGCAATACGCTTAATTTCTGTTTGACTGTCAGGATACTCAAACGCCAAGTTTAGCTCCTCTGATTATCTGCAGTGCGTGTCAGTGACAGACTTGTGATCTTGACAGCTGGACTTACCATGCAAATAGTTGCCCCATGTTTTGTGTGTACATCCGAGGGTCATGATGCATACCTTGGAGCGTGAGCTTAGTGCTGGTAGATCTGGCTGCACTAGTCGACGATAAGACCATTTCAAGGCATCAGTGTACTGGATCGATCACCGATCTGTACTGGCGAAGTACATGGGAAATGAGACGCTCGTTACCTACAAACTTAGAATGCCGACCGTTCAGCTAGATCAAAAAAACGTCAGGTTACACTGCTCAACTAAAGCTTTCAGGTGTGACCAATTAAATGGTTACGGTCGGGAAATAATGAGACCACAGTACTTATCATCCTGAAGGTGCTTGAGTGTATCTTTCATGTTCTAGATCGCATATCACCGCTGAATACAACTCTTGGTTTGAGGAAAGCAGTCTCTCCTCTAGTAACAGCTGACTGCTCACATCCATGAGCTCAAGCTGAGCTCTCTACATTAGTGCTCGGTGACTAGGAAGCGCTGCGCTAAAGTGCCTTTCAAGAAACCTTGCAACGAGTTTACCGACCATAATCGGTCATACTAACCAACTGGACATCCAAGAAGGACCACTATCTTTGTGGAGTTCATCATTCATCTTGACAGAAGACCCAGCCGAATCTGACATTTGTGGTATTCATCAGTTGAACATGCTGAATGGAGGTCGCCTCATGTATTGGTCAGAAAGACATTGAGGATATTGTTGACACCAGCTTGATCTGCAAACGACGAACGACAAGCACAAAACAGCATTGGTAGGAATTCGGTGATTATGCCCATCTGATGAGCCTCAAAACGAAATCAGCCTATAGTGAACTGTTCAACGGTTTTCGTCGACTCTATAGTTGATTTACGAAGGAGGATCATAGTCCTATTCTCTAATGTGAAAAACAGTTATCTCCACTACTCATTTTGAGACAATTAAATGCTCTACCTCATGAGCTTACCCTATCCCCAGCTCCCCTTCTAGGAGAACTTGGATGACTGGGAAAATAGCTGAATGATGGTTACAAGTTTGTTGAAATTGCGCTTTCAGGAGTGCCGGAACGGTTATCACCCTATTCACGCCAAAGTAGTTTATAATCACAAATTGAATGTTTTCTGAATGGTAAATATGGGATTGAATGCATCTGAGAAAACGCCATCGTCTGTTTATCAAATCTGTCTTAAGTTTAGTTTGTCCAGCCGCAACTGTGCTCGAACTAGTGTGCTACAGATAAGAAGGTCGACTTTTCTTGGAATCTTTCACAAAATCAACTTTTGAACACGAATTTCGAAGCCAAGTAAGCGTGTCAGCCTAGATTTCAAGAAGGAAATCGACTGAATACTCCAAAGAAAACTAACGAGGAACCAGCGCAGCTTCTTCTGATTAGTTTATTAGGCGCAAACTGTTTATGTTACTTACCCTATTACCGTCGGCGTAACTCATAGTGAATGCTTACGATACAACAAGAGGACCAAACCGTATGGGACTCATACTGATGCCTAAATCCCTCCTGGATTATTTGTTCGGGGTGGATTTCCTCAAAACTATCGTCCAAGTGAGGGACACGCTATCAATACTCGTAGTTATTTGTAAATAGACTTTTAGATTTATCTGATTTAACGAAACCGATGGTGATAACTGATAGTATATTTTTGGCAACATTGGTACTTTATCATAGTATAAACGGCCTTCGCTCCAGAGCAGATTCCAAACTCATTCGCAAACGATATCCCACCGGGATTGCACCCGGTATCCCCAACTTGAAACTCAGATTCAGGTTACTCCATGTTCTAACCCGCCGGTCACTTTTTTGTGGTGCTACGCGGACATACCAGCCTGATAATAAACCATTACTTCCGTGACAGTCATATGGTGTTTTAATTTTCTGCCGCAGTGATAGGCGAAAGCAATGACCACTCAGAGGTAAGACTCGTCACCTCGGTGATAACTTGGTGATCAGAACACCTGGTCGATTAGGATGAAGTTGCTGAAGCAGAGACCAAACGTCTTAGAAACAAGCCATAGTTGAACAGGTCGACATCTCAACTGCGAGTGGAATTATCATCATGGCAAATTAAATGACACCTGATACGCAGGTTTTAAATCACGGTGGACACACCCCCTAGTGGCCCATTGGCCGCACAATGATCTCATCTGCAAAATATTTGCGAGTGGAATAAAACATTTTTCGCCAAAATTTTGCATTTTGTTGCGTATGTACTCACGTTTTCGAAGCTTACTAAATTTCATTGTCCATTGATGCAATCATAACTTCGGCAGAAATAGTCTAGTGGAATAATTTCCTAGCATCGCTGAAACCCTGTGATGCCTAGATGGGGCTCAAAAGTTTCGACTCACACTCTGAACTCAGTCGCCTGTTTCCTTCAGTGCACGTCAGGGACACGTCGTGGCTTTCGAGAAGTCGATTCCATTGTGCGACTACTGAGCGCCCATCCTCGAACACGTATGACCTTCCGTCGAACGGCGCTCAAATCTGTATGGTACCATTAGGTATAATCCGTTCTGTAAAAGCTTATTGCCTGTAAACTCTCCATTTCACTAATCTCCAGGATGCCCTAAATTCTGACTAGTAGTTAAGACTAAACCGCTCAACGGGTTGAAAATTACCTTGGGGTGCGTAATAAGGATGGAGTGCCCCTCGGGTTTTCAGCCTAGATTGACCTCACTTACAGGACGAAATCTCGATTACAATTTCCAACTCTGCTCATATTGCCAACAAATTCTCTGACCATGCTGCGTTCAGCATGAGCACGTGTCTCCTTTATCAGGCCACTAATCATGTAGATTCCGTCTTTACGATTGGCACAACCATCTGAGAATCCTAACTTTGCAAAGGATCCAAGCTACAGAAAATTCAGTATAGTTTGGCAAAGTTTCTTACAGATTTCTTCTTCAGCCTTGTAAGCGATCTTTTCAGAGGGGAACAGCTATGGCAGTTATTTTATGCAAATATCGTGTTGGGAGGCTCCAACCACCTCGATTACCCACCTATATGTCATGTCATTTACCAGACAATTACGTGTTAAGGGAATCCGAAAAACGGCCTGGGAGTCTTGAATCATTTCCCCTGTTTAGGAATTCGCGCATGAGGGACAGGTGCACTAGTCCTTACCGTAATTTGTAAGTGACCTCTCAAAAATCCCTACTTCAAAACAGATCTTACGGGACTGTAATAAACAAGACTGATAGCCGAGGGGCAATCATTTGGAGACTACTGTACATCGCTTAGGATTGGAAATGAACTGACGCCAGTTCGTTAGTTGAACAGCTTTTCGAGACACTAGAGACGTACATGCCGCGTCGAATTATTGCATGTGGATTTCATTTATGACTCTCAAAGTTTATGTTTATTATGTCAATCACAGGTCTTCAGTCCTCTTAATTTGCCTATCAGTTTACTCCTTGTCCGAATAACAGTTTTGGTAGCTGGGAAGCGGAAAGCTATCTCTCCACACAGTGTTTCGCTCAGTAGTTTTTTTCTTCAGTGTGTATCTACCTCTTCTGATGTCGCTCGACATAATCTGTTTTTGTGCTTCTGCCTGCCATTCGACTTTGTAGACCCCGACTACGAACGCCAGCTTTCCAGAACATACACAAGTCCACCCTCCTTGAGAAGGTTGTCGTTACACATTCTAGTCTGCAATATGTTTTATTGCTTTTTTTCATCTGCCATTATTTTCCATCCGGAACCATCATGCGTATCAGAGTCCTTTTCTCCTCTGATGTTTAAGCTATCTCCTGGTTGGATTTTATCGTATTCTTCTAACCGTGAAGATCTTGGGCCTCCATCTAAGTTTTTACGAGGAAGACTTGTTTTTCTCGATATATTCGATGACTTTTTCCATCACCATGTGTGGTCATATCACATCGCATCTTTTTACTGTAAATATCCAACCTCGTTTAGATTCTATTTCGTTGTTCACACTGAGGGATTGTACAGTTTAAAAAGAAATCGTCGTGCAGAATCTGATCCAGTAAAATGTACTTCTGAACGATGCAATCCACTGATAACCGAATCGGCTGTTAAAAGGCTTTATTGATCACTTATTTTACACCCTGTGTAGTTTGACCGACCTATAAAGTAAACAAACTAAATGTCCTCAGAGGATCAGGAAACTTAAGACCAGTTTTTGGACCCTGAATTTCAAGTAGGTTGGAAAGAATATTCTTCATATCATACATTGTCGCGATTTCCGTAAACGAAATTCGAGACGTTACATAGTACAAAAAGGGCGAAACCGGTTGTGGGCTGTCGACGGATTTTCAGCAACCTTACGAGTAGTACACTACAAAGATATAAATGTATCGCGATATCTCGAATATCTTGGCGACTGAAACATGAGGCGGACTGGTGCAGCACATTCAGTTGCCAGAAAACATCACAAACGAAAGATTCAGCTGGGTTCCAGGTGAGTCTCTTAGAAAACCACATTAGTTTGCAAATGGGTGTATATTCGCTAATTTCGTGCAGTTTGGTTTCAAGTAGAACATAAGGTTGAGGGAAACCCGGGAACTGCGCCTACCTGATGAGCCTCAGAAGGTCGTCGGTTGTCGACGAATTTTCAGCAACCTTATGAGTAGTACATTACAAAGTTACATAGTACAGTTTATAGAAAAGTGAACTGAGTATCTCAACCATTATATCGTTGAATTAGAAAAGCAACACATATTCAGTGTCTATCGCTAAAGCAGCAGATGTGCAGAATAACAAGGCGGGTGATGGTAGTCCAGTGCAAGGCATTTAATTTTGGAAAGATTTCGTGCTGTAAGTTAAGTCAATCTGTGCTGAGAAGCACTGTACAGTCGTTTCATCTGTATAGGGAATCAGCAGCAGTATGAATCTAAGGAAACTCCAACCCGCTAACTTCCGTCCACTGGCTGAACACGACTGTTTGGCCACGAACGGTTGACCGGCGGTGTGAATAACTCACTCAGTACATAGCGCCATTCATCCTTCAGTCACAGAGGCCACGTCATGAGGTGACGTACCGACTTGCTGCTGTCGTGACTTTTAAGATGGCAGTTACACTTATCTGGCGAAATTATTCTTCCTCTGAGCTACTTATTGACTGGTGGTTGTGTGGGGATAATCGGTAACTCTCAATGCAGTTTCGTGAAATATGCATTGCTGATGATACCCAATAAGCATGGGATAGCCATACGGTATTTCTCCGCTCTTCAGCGTTGGCGGACCTCATTGTCAGGACGAAATCTTGATGGGAAACTACCGAATTTCCACACAAAACCAACAGTTTCATCAAATCCCTGTCGTCTTTGATCCGATTTGCTGCTATTCCTGTAGATAGTAGGCGCAGAACTGAACGGGAGCTGGATCTATTTACGGATGAACTAGCTCGACTTGTGCATCACGAAGTTCATGCAGACTAGCCCTAGATACAATTGACGTAGGTCGATCGACGAGCGTCACGAAGACTGAGCTCACACAAGGTCATCACATGACAGAGTCAGAGGCAGCCTGCTACACTGTTGGTCAGGCCACCCGGTTACATTGACCATTTGATCGATAACCTTGTAAACCTAAGTACCGTTACATTTGCTTTAACAACCCTGGTCGATTTCTAGGGCCAAGGGGATTGTCTCGCTTAGTAAACATCACTGTTTAAATCATTTGTACAATAAAGTAACTACAATTCAGCGTTTTCCATTCTGGGATACATGAAGCCTTTTTCAGAGCTTCGTCAGCCCTTGGTTTGGGATCAAAATATTAGTACAATCCGAGGACCAGATAAATTTGTCTTTGAGGGGAAATAAAATAGCTCGCTTCCTAATGAAAGCTCATCTACACTGATACTGGTGATATTGAATTAACCCAGGTACGGATCTTTAAGCAGTGGCTTAGCATAAGAACTCTGTATGCGACATACTTAGTTCCCCTTTACATACAGCTGCTCCAGCTGTCTAAGGGAAGTGATGTGATTTATGTGTGCGTGACTAAGTGACGTCAATTTTCGAGTCCAAAGTCTGCTTGTGACGTAATTTAAGGGTGGTATGTGGAGGCTGCTTTATTACTATGTACAAAAATTAGACTGAAGTGTCGTACATTCTTTACTCCATTTGTAACACACTCAATAAACTAGAACGGTGAAAGTGCCATGTGGAGTTGGAAATCCCTTTAGGGTCAGTTAAGTGATCTCAGTGATGTGATAACGGAAAAATGAGAAGTTACGTGAAAAGTCACAAAACGGTTTATTAAAGCTTTCGAAAATTAAATTCCATTCTTGATGCTGCAGAAATATGAGGTAAACCCCTATGTTACTCTCATCCCCTAATTATTGTGTATAGGAAATCCTCCGTAGTAACCAACTGTGCTCAACTCACGTGATCGCAAGATAAAATGGAAAGAGATTTACTGGATAATTATGTGGGAACTTTGTCAGTTCTGCTTTATGTCGCGACTAAGTCTCCCAGATTGATATCATCGGGCGATGATCGATAATGCTTGATATCAATTTTGTTGGTCATGTTTGTGACAGTTAGGACGTTGCCAATGCATCCAAGCCTGTAAGTTAAGGTTGTTCAGCCTAAACATTCAATTGTCTATTGGCAGTGCTGCAGCCGTTGGTCTAAAATGACTAGGCGGGTCTTATTTTCATAAAGGAAACTACTCACAAGGTTGCTGAAAACTCTTCGACAGCCCACGACCGGTTTCGCCCTTCTTGTGGCTCATCAGGTAGGAGAAGTCCCCGAGTTTCCGTCAATTTTATGATCTACTTGAACCCAAAGTGGACTGTTTTCGAGAAATACACTCATTTGCAAACCAATTTGTTTTTCACGCACCAGCTAATAAAAGTACTCAGATGAAATTACAAGCCATAATGAACAGCGGTAGGTAGTCTGGCTCTTAAATGGGTCAAATGCCACATGACAACATTAGCTAGGTTGCATTTCTAGATGCAAAGTCGAGCTTCAAAGGTCGGTTTTACATACGCCAAGAATCTTTGAATTAGGCGGATGGTAAGTTGTGAGTGCCTTCTACCATCAAGTAAGAACTTTAAATGGTGGTAAATTGCATCGAAAGGCGGATTGGCAGAAGGACAAATTAACCGACAGTGGTGATGGGATCGTCCATCACTCGACCGTTGCGGAAAACACAAAAAGGCGACACATTGTCTCAGCCGAAATCCCAACCTCCCTGGAAAAACAGCAGACGGGCCATACTGGTTTCCTATTTTCGACCTGTGCTTTTCCCAAGTGTACATGGACTCCTGAAATTTGCTAATTTGTATAGTCCAGGAGATTCTTCAACTATTTACAGCTAAAAATCTGCTGTTTATGGAGTTTTCAACGAGGTCAAACTGAATACACCTATTCGTCCTCCTCAACTCGGACAGCGATCTGCGAGCTTAGACGCTCTCTCAGTTTCTAAAGTGCTAACAAACTTTTCGAAGTTAAGGCATCATTGTCAGGAAGGTCAGGTTCTTGAAATTAACCACTGAATGCCAGAAATCTCCTAATACCCTCAACTTCACTAGATGCTGACGAGACAGACAACGCCCCCTCATTATGCAGCGTGTCACAGCCTTGTATCAAAGCGAGACAGCGTTGGACCAACGTTACATAGTGCCCTCCAATAAAGTAGTTTGAGGCCGTTGTACTTTCGCACCCACGCCCTCACAATCGCTTGTTCTCAATAAGGCTGTTGTGTTCCTTATCGGCGGGTCTTTTTCCGGCACTAGGTACTGGAGCGGAAACAGCAGTCAGACATAACAATCATCAGAACGCTGGGCTGAATGAACCCCCAACACCTTTGCCCCAAGACGACAGTGTTTTGTATCTCTCTTGACTAAGTTTTTGAAATTTAGTTTTGAAACAAGGAAGCGTTTTGAATACGAGGGGCCCATCAGAGCCCTTGTGCCTTTAGTTAAAAATGGTGCCTGAAGCGACTGCTCCAACCATAGAGTTACGAGCCCAACTGTAGTTGAAACGTGATTATCAGTTTTAATATTCCTTTGATGTCTGATCACAGCATACGAGACGTAATTCCACGAGCATCATACAGGACTTCGATTATGTGAAGGCTGCACTGACCACACCTTTACATGACGCCACATCGACCAGTTGGTGCTTTTCCTTGACCTCAAAGTAGCCCTCGACTCCGTGGGTAGGTTGGCTGTTCTACAAGCCGTTGCCAACGGGAAATGCTGTCGAATTTCGTCAGTGTTATTCTCCCACAATTCGATTGTGTCACGATTTGCAACCAACCCTGCAAACATAGCCTCAAAACCAGTGGGGTTCGCCATGAGTGCCATTTTCCCCAGTTTTTTTCCGATTTCGTCATTGACACCACCATTTAATGTACTGTGCAAATGTCATGGATCCAAGTCGAACTTCCATTACTCTGTTATTTGACGACAGTATATTCGCTGAAGCTACCATAAACAGAATCCTCTAAGTTGCCCCTTGTTTCGGGATGCATTTGATACCTCCACAGCGCAGTGTTTTGCTTCAGAGCCCTCCTCTCCCACATACCTCTTTGTGATTTAGGATTGACGAGCTTCATTTTGCTGTTGGGTTTGCACATCTTGCAGGTTGCATAAGCCTTAACTGCGTGGTGAAACAGTAAGTCACCAAGGCACCAGTTATAGTTGCCAACATGCGTCATTTTTGGCGTCAGAAACGAATATCGCTTAGGTTAGAAGTCCGTGTTCATAAAATGGCCATAAGGATACTCTTATCACAGTGCTGAGAAAATTCGTCCCTCCAAACATCTTCAGATATTTGATCTGTAGTGTACAATTAATGAGATGGTCCTCAAGCGAATACTAAGTCATGTGTTGGATTCAGTAGAGCGACGGATAGAGCCTTTGTCTGACCACCGTCTGCTAAAGAAAGCCGTGTTTTTATAATAAAAACCCTTGTTGTTAAAAAGCAGTCGGACCAGAATGTGGCATTGTGGAATGAAAACGGCTGCTATCAAGTTGAGCTCTTTGGAATCTTTGTGCCTTCTCTCGAGTTGCTGGTAATCTTACAGGATAAGGCATGTAATAAATCCAGTTAGCAAGTTTGGTATCACTTCCTAGCAGGGCTGCATGGCTGATGCTTGTCCGTTGTTGTATGCGTCGCTTATATTGGTTAAGATTCACAAAAGACATTGGGTCAGTTCTCTGATGGCACGTCGCTGCAACATGATACTCAGATGCCTTTATCTTAGTGGTTTCAGGAGTGGGCATCATCTTCACCACTTCACTTTTATTTGTTTTTTCTTCGTTTAAATGTTTGGAGGCAGCGCTGCCGCAAGGAATGAATTCAAGGGCGTGTGTGCTGGTGTTGTAGCTACCAGAAAACAGTATCGCAAAAGACTGGTCAAGTGAAGCCATTAGCCAGAGCATCTCCAACCTTTTGATAATGCAGAAAAATGCTGTTGATACCCAATCTAGTTCCAGTTTTC